CGGATCCTTCTCTCAGAATTCACTGCTAAGGGGACTTTGAAAAACGGATACGGAGGAGCCACAGGACTTCCACTAAGGAAGAGATTTCGGGTTTTCGGGAGACGTCCTCAGATTTGAGAAGGCCCGACATCGTCCAAGGCTCCATAGACCAGTCGAGCATACTCCGTCTGGTTGTGACGCGGAAACAAAACGAGATCCGGAGACTGCAACACGAAGGTGGTGTCCTGAGTTTCTCTTACCGCAAGGTGGCCTAAGTCCTTACATAGAAGACAGCAGGGTTTCTAAATTAGGAAGTACTTTTTTATGGTTTACGCAGGTCATATTCCTCCATTTAGGTACTTAGGACCTTTTGGGTAAGGTCTGTTAAGGCTCTGAGCATCCCAAAACATAAGGAGTCATGGACTTCAATCGTGTATATATATATATATATGACATCAGCAGGCTAACTACAGTTACACAGTTATGCCTTAATTTACAACGACCCGGAAGAACGAATAAATAGAAGTTTTGTGTCTTTGTTGACCTTTGAACCCCCTAACCCGTCAATTTCAGCCGCCGCCCCCACCATCCCAGCACCCGAAACATGGAAAACGAGGTCCTGCAACCATCCCAGCCCAGCCCAGCCCCCGAGAAAATGGAAAGCAAGGTGCAACAAGAACACCTGCTCAACACGTTTCGCTCAAAACGTATCGGCACCCAAGTATTCAGCATGGAAAGCAAGCGGCAAAAGCAGAAACCTGTTCGAAACTTTCACTCGACTTCGCTCTAAACGTAGCGGTGCCAAAACCCTGAGACCCTCCCTCTAAAAACCCCCGATCCATCTGTCCCCGAACAAGCCCTCCGACGCGAAGATCGCGCTGCCAGGTCCTAGCGACTCTGCCTCTCGCAGACTCTGATTAGGACTCGACAGCCGCCCATCCCATCCCAGCCCCTGGACTGGAACAAACCCATCTCAGCATCCCAGACCCGGCTGTCCCACAACTGACACGAAGATCACATGCCCAGGCCTCAGGAGCTTCGACAGGAGACCGGGCCTACGAGCCCAGCGAGTTACAGGTCCAGGCTTGAACTCGGAAGCACATCCTGATCCGGCAGCCTTCCCCTCGTAATGTAGGGGCCTAAACCATTACCAATACCCTTTTGGGGGGTTCCTTAAGATAATTATAGTATAACGGGCCCCAATACCCTATTCTAATTATTAAGGCCCCCATATTATGCAATCTCTTCTTCCATCGCATGCAGGGTGTTGCCATGGCATCGGCAACGGATGCGAGAGTATATGCCCACCCCTGCCCAGCCCCAGCAGCCATCGCAGCCCCAGGCAGTCCCGCTCCGCGAAACATGCCCGCCAGCTAGCGCCAGCCCCGAACACAACCTCCAACCCCCGACAAATCGCAAGCAAGGTTCGAAAGACAAAGCTGTCGCTCGAAACTTATCGGCACCCAGACCCTTAACAGTTTATACAAACCCTAAACTGCAAGGCGCTGCAATGTGGCCCTGAACCACTGCAAAAGCCAAAACGGCTTTAGGGTTTAGGGTTTAGGGTCTGCAAACTCCACAGCAATTGCTGGGAGACCTAGAGATCCCATCCCTTAAGCTACCGTTTAGGGTTTAGGGTTTAGGGTTTAGGGGTTCTTAATGGCTCCTGACCGGTCCTAACCCTTGAAAAAAAGTAGGCGGAGCCGCAGGTACAGCCTATAATAAGCACCAAAAAGTTGGAAACCGGATTAAGGACAAATAGTGCTGGGATTCCCTATGCATCCCTAAACCCTAAACCCTAAACCGTGGTTACTCTTAAGGATTGAGGCTACTGGGTTTCCAACTTTGGGGCAAGCCCAAGAAGACGTTCACGATTTAGCCTGTCGTCTTTTCAGTGATTAGGGTCTAGAGTTTAATGAGGGTTGGGGTTTAGGGTCTAGAGCTTAAGTAGGGTTTAGGGCTTAGGGTCTAGAGCTTAATTAGGGTTTGGGTTGAGGGTTTACGGTCTGGGGCTTCGGGCTTAGGGTTCAGAGTTTCGGGCCTACTCTTTCTGCTGGCTCCTTACTATGGTGACTTAATCTGTGCAATCCAAAGAGATAAGTCGTCTGGGTTTAGGGTTTTGGCAATCCATGGCTTCTCTGTTCTGTGCCAAGATGCCGGCTTCCACCAGTAAGTCAAGCTGGGAAACTCCTACAGGATTGGCGGTTAGCAGTTAAGGCGGCTGAGGCTAGAGTTTAGGAGTTGTTAAGGTTTAGGACTTTAAGGCTTAGGGTCAAGAGTTCTTTGGTCTTTTGGTGCAGGGCAGGTTTACGGGTTTTTTGCCTACGATCTTAGGGCTTAGTTTAGCCACGGGCTATACACGTCATGTAGGGTTTCTAAACCCAAAGGGTCCTAGCACCTATATCGTAGAATCGAAGGTTTCTATATTAGGAACTACTATTATGATTTGAGGCAGTACTCCCCATAACAGTACCTAGGACCCTTTTTGGAGAGGTTTCGGAGATTACGGTTTTGGGGTTGTGACCGTTGAGCTTTGACAGTTGTGCTGCGAGCCCGAGACATGGTGCTTTTTGAGGCTTAGGGTTTAGGGTTTAGGGCTTAAGGTTTAAGGTTTACGGTTTAGGGCTTAGAGTTAAGGGGGTCAAGATCGGGTTAGGAGTTAGGATGTAGTGGCTGCTTTCTTGTGGCTTAGAGTGGATGGATGTCTACAGGTCAGTCGTTGATGGCCATTCCGTGCCTCTGATTTCCACCATCAAACCCTTTCTGCAGCCCTCACTCGTCATGCCAGGTAGCTAAAAACCCTAAACTGCAAGACTAAAGCGCTTTTAACAACGAAACCCCTAAGCCCTAAAAACCCTAAATTCATGGTAGGATGTCAGATTCCAGAGGCCCAGGGACATGACGACGTATCCCACACAAAGGCTGTAGCGTAGTAAAGTGGCCCTAGATACTGTCACTCTACAGGGACTATACCGAAACACTCTTACTAAGTTTTGTTCTAAATTCTAAACCCTAAACTCTAAACCCTAAAGTGTTTTGGCCTTTAGACGCCTATGAGGGTTCAGGGCCTGTCTGCGCTCTCGGACGGTGAGAGGCAAGGTCTGAAGACGAATTGAAGATTCCGGGGTTTAGGCTTTAGGGCTTAATGTAGGGGTCTTAATAACTAGAATAGGGTGTTTGGGGAGTTCCTTTGAAGGGTTCCTTATAAGGGTTTAGGGTTTAGGGGCCTTAATAATTAGAATGGGGTTTTGGGCTCCTCTATAGTATAGTTATAATAAGGAACCCCCAAAATAGTCTAGGTAACACTTCAAGCCCCTTAATTAGGGCCCAGTGCATACCCTGGAAACCACGGCACCTTGTTGATCGGGCCCCATTGCCCACTGACCGCAGTCGCAATTGCTGCCGGCATGCTGTGGAACCTCGGTGGAGCACATTCGTGATGCCTGCTGGTTTGAGGCCATCGTATAGGGTCTGTACAGGGTTTGCTACAAGGCGTTATAGAACGATGACTAATTGAATGAACACGGAGGAATCTAACATTTCGAATAATAGCCGGCTGGTAATGTATAAGAACTCGGGCCTGCGAGGTAGGACTTCTGAATAGCATACTTTCGGAGCTCTCAGGGTTTGGGGCTCCGGGGTACACGGCTAGACTGTCCACTTCGGGAACCTTAACCCCTAAACCCTGAACCCCCAGACCCCTAAACTTCTGAACTTCGGGGCCTGAAACCTGCACATACATCATGCCCTAAACCTTTTTCAGCACGGGCTTTGGGTGTGTGCCGGCCCAACGCGGAATCCTACGGTCTTCACAACAAACTAAACTGTTAGCGTTAAACCCTATATTTTGTGTGTAGGGTTTAGGGTTTATAAACCCTGAACCGGTTTAGGGTTGCCTAAACCCTAAATCCTAAACCCTGAGTTTTAGGCTTGGTGAAGGGTTGCGCAGAAGGCACCTGTCGGGTCTGAGAGCCCCAGGGATAACAAGTACGGGGGTTTATCGTTTGAAGCTTCTCTGAAAGGATAGCTTCCCTATAGGGTTTAGAGTTTAGAGATTAGGGTCTGAAAGGCTAGCTAGCTTCCCTATAGGGTTTAGAGTTTAGGGTTCAGGATCATGCACGCGAGGCGATTAGTGGATTGGAGTTAGCCATATGCAAGTGCTGGCCAAAAAAAAAGTTCAGCTCTTTTTTTGGATCTTCTGAGCCAGTGGCGAGATCTGCTGTGTCAGATGCAAAGTCCCCCAGCCGTCGCCGCCAGTGATCCTGGAAAGCTCAGGCGAAGTAGAGTAGAAAGCAAACTAAAACCCTAAACCCCAAAGCTACTACACTCTTAGATTCCGGGGCCCCCCACCCTAACAGGCCCAAGCCAAACCCTGGAGACTCCTGTCGACATACGGTATATACGTTGACCCCCAACGTGCTTATAGGAACCCCTCTGTACAGGCACATGGTCCCCCACAGGGAAGCAACACCCGCTAGTCTGAGGTTCAGGGATTCGAGCTATGCATGACACATAGCTGCGCTGCAGACCTTAATTGAGGGTCGTGAGACTTTGCAAGTAAGGTTATAAGTACCGTAATTAATTAGGGATGCAAGGGATTACAAGTATAGCTACCTCGTCTATAATCCCAGTTACTAAGTCTCATGATCCCCCAAGTAAACGCCTGAACCCAACATAGGCGGTCTAGAGTTGTGAGTATACGGTTTAGGGTTTAGGGCTCAGGGGTTGTCGAGGTTGTAGGGCGTGGTCAGGGGCTGTCTCCGAGATGGTCACAATGGAAACACCTCCGATCGCAGGCCCGATCTCGGATAGGGACAATCGGTTTAGGGTTTAGAGTTTAGGCAAAACAACACGTGGAATGACGCTGGAACTGTCGTACTTGTGAGTATATGAGCAGTTCTCTAAACTAGGCCCCTTTACTCACACAGAACAAACCCTGGACACCCTAAACCCTAAACCCCTAAACCCCTAACCCCTAAAGCCTAAACCCCGTAACCCCTAAACCCCTGCTGCCCAGTTGCAGTGCAGTGCAGTTTTCAGGCTGTGCCCGGCAAGCCGGAGATGCAAACCACTTGCCCTGGTAGCACTTCAGGACCTGGAACCGGTTTAGGAGATTAGTTTTTTTGTTTTTTTTTTGGAGGGTTAGGGTTTAGGGTTTAGGGGTTAGGGTTTAGGGTTTAGGGCTGGTAGCACTTCAGGACCTGGAAGCGGTTTAGGAGATTAGTTTTTTTGGTTTTTTTTGGAGGGTTAGAGTTTAGGGTTTAGGGGTTAGGGTTTAGGGTTTAGGGCTGGTAGCACTTCAGGACCTGGAACCGGTTTTGGGATTAGGGTTTGTTTTTAGGGTTTAGGGTTTAGGGCTTAGGGCCTGGAACCCAGAGACTCCAATAACCCTTAATTAAGGAATATACCTTAAATTAAAGTAGGATCCCGAATATGATTTAAGGTATATTCCTTAATTAAGGGGTATTGCAGTCTCTGGGAACAGGTTTAGGGATGAGGGTTTAGGGCTTAGGGTTTAGGGCTTTGGGGGGTTTGGTTTTAGGGTTTGTAACCAAGGGGGGCGTGTGAAGCGGTGGGGATAGTTGAACGACGATCAAACCAGACTGTGGCTGCTGGGTTCGGACCGGAGACACGTTCGGTGTATGTGTCACCGCATGCACCGATTTCAGCATTCCTAACTCCCATACCCCATAAACCCCGAAGTGCCCTTCTAAGAACCCTGATAGGAATCCTTTCCTTAAGCCCTAAAAAACTTCCATGAGAGGTTTTGGAGTTACGGGAAATTAGGGGTTGGGATTTAGAGTCGCACAGGCCTGCGTGTCACCGCGGCCTAAACCCTAAGCGCCCAACATGCTACATTCCATCACGGCTTGACGGGTTGAGGGTGTGGGGTCTTGGTTATGCGCTTCCTTCTGTACCTGGCATTTGTTCCCTTGCCAATTTGCAACTCTGCGCACCCCCCACACTTTCAAACACCAGCAGGGCTTTCAGTTTAGAGTTGAAGGTATAACAGAGTGGCCTCAGACCCGTCAGCGCTTTGGCACCGAGTCTTTCATGCTGTCGGCGTAAGTTTGTCTGCACTCGGAGGCTGTAAGTGGGACAAGCAGATGTCTTCCGGAGAAGTCGAAGCAGCTACACCACCAGATGCTGTCTACTGTTGGAGCAGTCTGAGCAGCTAGAGGAGCTGCAGGATGAAACGCCTATTTCTTGTCTGGTTTCAAAGCAGAAATGTATTCACCGTTCGCGAAAGGGCTGTACCCGCTATTCACAGCAGGACTGTAGCCACCATCCACGGCAGGGCTGTAGCCGCCACCAGCAGCTTGGCCCCAGGTTACTATAGATTCATCGCCAAGGATGGCAGCGAAGGCTCTGCTAGAGGCTTGGATCTGCTGCACATTCTTCAGCTGATCCTGCACGGCGCTACTGTCACCACCACGGTGTCTATCACCCCAGGTCACGACAGATCCATCACCAAGAATGGCGGCAAAAGCATAAGCACATGCTTGGATCTGCTGCACGTTCTTAAGCCGAGCCTGCACAGCAGTACTGTCACCACCGTTTTCAGCAGCACCCCATGTCACCACGAACCCATCGCCGACAATGGCAGCAAACGCCCGGGAAGAGGCTTGGATCTGCTGCACATCCTTCAGCCGATCCTGCACGGAAGTGCTGTCGCCACCACTGTCAGTAGAACCCCAGGTCACAACGCATCCATCGCCAAGGATGGCAGCAAAGGCGGTGCCGGTGGCTTGAATGTGCTTGACATTTTTCATCCGATCGCGGACGGAATTGCTGTCCCCACCACCACTGCCCCACGTCACGACAGAACCATCACCAAGAATAGCTGCAAATGCACTCCCAGAAGCTGCAATCTGCTGCACATTCCTCAGCTGATCCTGCACACCAACATTGCCACCACCACGGCTAGCTTTGCCCCAGGTCACAACCGATCCATCGTCAAGCATGGCTGCAAAAGCATCGCCAAACACAGTACGACAGGTTTGGATCTGCCGCACGTTCTTCAGCCGATCTTTCACAGCACTACTGTCACCACCATTTTCGGCACCACCCCAGGTCAGGACAGACCCATCGCCAACGACGGCAGCAAAAGCTCTGCTAGCAGCTTGGATCTGTTGCACATTCTTCAGCTGATCCTGAACGGCACGACTGTCACCGCCATACTGAGCATGACCCCAGGTCACGACAGATCTATCGCTGAGAATGGCCGCAAAAGCTCCGTAAGAGGCTTGGATATGCAGCACATTCTTCAGCTGATCCTGCACGGCGCTACTGTGCCCACCATAACGAGCATCACCCCAGGTCACAACAGATCCATCGCCAAGTATGGCAGCAAAAGAGTGGTCATTGGCGTGAATTCGCTGCACATTTCGCAGCCGTTCCTGCACTGAACTGCTGTCACCACCACGGTGAGTAACACCCCAGGTCACGACAGATCCATCGCCAAGAATAACAGCAAAAGCATCTGCGGTCGCACATGCTTGAGTTCGGCTTACTTGCAGGGTCAGCGCATCACCATTCTGCACCCTGGCATTCTTTACTTTCGCACGTGAATCTAGAATGTTTCCAGATTTGTCCACCAGCCGCCCTCTTCTGATGCCTAGTGCGGCATGCGCGCGACATCTCAATGCTTCCACCTCTTCTTCCAAGCCGACCTCAACAGTAGCTGTCCTGCCACTCAGCAGTCCAACATCCACAGTGATCGACATTGGTATTGCGTGTCAAGAAAACTGAAAAAGTCTACATCACGAACTTATGCTGATGGCATGGGGTGTTCCTGCTGCTGGCACGGGATGTGCCGGGGGGAGGGTGTTTCGGTCTTTACGGCTTGATTGCGAAGTGCAACCACGGCGACTGAAGGTGACGAGAGCATCGGGCGGAGGGCAGGAGGAGGTCATCAGGAGCAACAACGGTACAGTACTTAATCGGAATTCGTAGTAGAGGTGGCAATAGTAGCAGTAGTAGTAGTAGTAGTAGTAGTAGTAGTAGTAGAAATAGCACTAGGAGTACAGTGTGCCGGGAATTTAGAACAGCTATTTGAACAAAATTGCCAAGCGATCTTGCGAGCAAAAGCAGTACAGTAGCAGCAGCGGTAGTTGTAGCAGTAGCATCAGTAGCAGTAGTGGTAGCAGAAGCAGAAGCAGCGCAATTAGCGGTAGGAGTAGCAGTAGCAGTAGCAGTAGCAGCAGCAGCACTAGTAGCAGCAGTCGTGGTAATAGTACTAGCAGTAGTGGCAGAGTAGTAGTAGTAGTAGTAGTAGTAGTAGTAGTAGTAGTAGTAGTAGTAGTAGTGTCGTAGTAGTAGTAGTAGTAGTAGTAGTAGCAGTAGACGTGGTAGTAGTCGTAGTAGTCGTAGTAGTCGTAGTAGTAGTAGTAGTAGTAGTAGTAGTAGTAGTAGTAGCAATAGTAGTAGCAGTAGCAGTAGCAGTAGCAGTAGTAGCAGTAGCAGGAGTAGTACGAGTAGGAGTAGTAGTAGTAGTAGTAGTAGTAGTAGTAGCAGTAGGAGGAGAAGGAGTAGTAGTAGTAGTAGT